AAGTAGTTTTACGAGTAGAAATTCAAAGAAGACATTTCTGATCTAATACCGCCTGCATGTCCCTTCCCCCCTGAGCACCAAGCATATAACCACCAGCTTCATACAGCAAAAGGGTGCAGCCCTTTCTGCCCACCTGTCCTGATCCCACGCTACTTAGATAAACTCACTAAGTTGCATCAGACAACATCTCAAGAATTCTTTCTTGGCCATTGCACTCAACAACCCCACATCACAGCCAACAGATTTTCTATATGCCAGAAACAGGGGCACCTGGCCGGCTCAGTCAGTACAGCACACCACTTTTAATCTCAGGGTTGAGTTCAAGCTCCACTTTGGGCGTGGAGTCTACTTAAAAAACAAAAAGAAAGGAATAATATATGCCAGAAACAGCCAATTTGAAGACAAAATGGGGAACAAAATCCATAAACAAGAACCGCCAAGGGATGCCTGGGTCGCTCAGTTGGTTAAGCATCTGCCTTCGGCTCGGGTCATGATCCCAGGGTCCTGGGATCGAGCCCCGCGTCGGGCTCCCGGCTGGGCAGGGAGTCTGCTTCTCCCTCTCCCACTCCCCCTGTGTGTTTTCTCTCTCTCTAATAAATAAAATCCTTAAAAATAAATAAATAAATAAAAATAAACAAGAACAGCCAAAATACCCTAGAATAAAGATTTAAAAAAATTGGCAAACCTTTATGAAGAAACTTACAGAGCTTTTATAGGAAGATATAATAAAGAATAACTAGAAAGTCAACCCATGTTCCTGGATGAGAAGACTCAATACTGCAAATATATTAACTCTTCCCCATTTGTTCAACTTAAAGCAATTCAAGCTACAGATATTGAATCATTGTGATATCAGCACAGAAACAGACGTGTTAATCAACTCTAAAATCCAATTAACAACGTTGTGGAAGAATTTAGTTTATGGCAAAAGTGGCACTTCAAGTACGTGGCTTGAAACAACTGGCAGTACATTTGGAAAAACACATACTTCTCCCTCACAAGAGACACAAAAACAACTTCCAGTTGGATTAAAGATTTAAACATTAAAATAAACCAAAGTGACTATTAAAGAAATATTTTCATATGGGAATAGGAAAGGAAGCCTTGCCTAACAAGCCACTAAGTTCCAACATCATAATAAAAAGTAGGGACATGGTTCACTAAGTAAGAAACAAAAATGTCTGCAAAAGAATAGCCACCAGAAAAGGGGTGCCTGGGTGGCTCAGTCATTAAGCATCTGCCTCCGGCTCAGGTCATGATCCCGGAGTCCTGGGATCGAGCCAGGGCTCGATGGGCTCCCTGCTCCGTGGGAAGCCTGCTTCCCCTCTCCCTCTGCCTGCCATTCTGCCTATGTTCTCTCTCTCTGTCAAATAAATAAATAAAATATTTTTTTAAAAAAAGAATAGCCACCAGAAAGAAAAGGAAAACGATAAACCTCAGAGGAAAATATCTGAAATATATGTGATAGTCAAAGAAAGCTATATCTTAATTTAAAAACAAAACAACAGATTTCCGAAAAAATAGTCTGCATGTATCCATTAATGTTAAATATAAAAATGTATCAAAACAGTCAAAAATAAAGTAGATGATGATGATGATTAGTGGGTTTTTTATGGGTTGGTAAAAATAAAGAGACTTTTACTGCTGTATTGTTTGAATTACTACAGCAATTACATGCCATAAGGAAAATATATATAAATATTCTCATTTTGAAGAACAACAGTGAGTAAAAGAGGAGTCCTTCAGAGGAGAACTTCAATACTAAAGAAGGAGTATTCTGAATCAGTGAGTGCTTGATGCTCCCCAGCTTGTGGAATATTTACAAACTCTGCAGTGACCTAAGAGATTGGATGATTCAAATCCTGGTGACTTTCCCGTCTGTGAAGCTAACCTGTATAAAGCAATGACAGTAGATTCGCTAGTCAATGAAAGCAGTCATGAAGTCTAAAAGCTTGAGTTAAAAGAAATGGACAATAGTCCCATTTCTCCTTCCCACAGATCAAGCTTCTCACCACTCATTGTGCTCCGCCCTCAAGGTTTTGTCAAACTATCAAGGAAGAGCTAAAAATGCCTGCGATGTTTTATATTACCTGCTGCAGCTGTCATTGTTATTCTCTGCATAAAAACAGACAACAAAGAGGGCGGGGAGGGACCGAGGCGGAAGAGCAGGCAAAGAAGGAAAAGATTCTCTCCTCTTAAAAGTTTCCAAATAGGTTTTAGCAAGTCCCTGAAAGAGAGTATATGAAAAGAAAAGGTTTGGGACCGCAGAAGTCAACATTAATGCCATAAATTGGGAAGAATGCCCGGGGTGGTAGGAGGTTCCCCCCCTAGACTTGCTGGAGTGTCCACAGGCAGGAGGAGGGCAGAGTCTGAAGGAAGCAAGCCAATTAGCCAGAGTCCCCACTGGAAGGTGAGGGGTGATGGATGTGGTAATGAGAAGACTCTCAGTTAATTGGGAATCCAAGGCCTTGCTGCCCAGGTAGGTAAGGTCTAAGAGCTGCTCCCCACGTGACAACAAAGTGACAGCACGACAGGAGCGGTGGCAGCGTGCCGTGTTGGCCAGAGGCCTGAGACAGCCTCTCGAGCCTCCCACGGCCTCAGAATAGCATGAGGGGGCAGGGGAAAGTTTTCCTCCCCTCAAGAGGGCTACAAAAGTGGCTGAGAGAGAACCAGAGTGCCCGAAGGGGCCTTAGGGTTTCCAAGGGGAGTGTGTGAACTGATGACCAAAGACAGAAAACGAACATTAGCAGCAGGTGCCACCTTAAAAAGCTGACCTTCACAAGTCAGACCTCCCCACACTCACAGACACCACCCCTACCCCATATAGAAACAGGGGAAGGGGTAAATCCTGAGTTAACTGAGGAAACCTGGTGTTGACTAGATTAATCCTCAGATATCAGGTAAATTGGGACTCAAAGAGAGAGTGTGGTATCACTTAAGTTTTACATTTCCGTAGGTCTAAATGTGTGGGCTGTGCAAAATGAACCCATCATGCCTGCTTTACAGGATTGTTTTAACGTGACAAGGTGAGACCAGGATGGGGGAGGCCCCATATACACCCTTCCAACTATCAGATGCTTGTTGTCATTCCTATAGCTCATGATTTCATTGCCCAGTCTCTTTCGCGCCACTAGTTACTAAACACAAGGGGTGCCGCCATGTGGCCAAGTTTATTCAGCTTATTTTTACCGTGAGCAAGAATATTCCAACCCATTACCTCAGAATTAACATATTTCACATTCCCACATTGTATAAACAATGTGACCAGTGCTCTTAATTCAGTGACCCCACCGGTAACACAAGATAGTCTCTCTAAGCTGCTAAGGCACATTGAAGATTTCCTTTATACAGGAGGAAACATGATTCAACAAAGCATTTTTCTCAGGAGCTACAGTCCAGACAAGTTTTGCTACTTGCTTGTCAAATCCAATTTGATTGCATTGGTTAAAATAAACTCCATTGACTACCCGTCTTCACCTCTGCCAATCACCCCAGAAGGACATCGACTGTTTTTCCTTTAGAGTTATACCACCAGGAGCAAGAAAGTAATTCTCATTAATGTATTTATCACACTAAGGGTGCAATTGCTTATCTGCGGTATGCTAACTATTTTGCATGACGACTTAATTTAAATTTGGCAACTATCCCCATTTTATAGATTAGGAAACTGAGTCTCAGAAAGGTTAAGTTACAGTAAGGGCGCAGAGTATGTGGCAATGCCTATATTTAATCCAAGTTTGACTTCTTTTCACTCTACCACGACACCCTGCTAATGAGAATATATACACTTATCTGAAGCTTGTATTTTTAAAAATTCTTGTCGAGGAACTCAAGATCCAGGATAAGTCATTCGACCACCCCTCCCCCTCTCATCTCCTACCCACTCTACCACACACCTTTCCTCTGCCACACTCACTCACATCCTTTCCCTAAACCCCCACCTGCCTGCTCTCCAGCCTTTACAGAAGCTGTTCCCTCTGCTTAGAGTGTCCCAGCCTTCCTCCCCACTTAGTGAATTCCAACCGGACCTAAATCAGGCGGGGACTGAAAGCTTTGCTCCCTCTCCCAAGGAGAATTAGCAGCCTCCACTCCAGCTTCTGCAACTTGGTTTATCTTTCCACCACAGCCCACACATACCACTTGGGATTGGCGTCTGTCTGCACATGCCTCTGTAACCACTTCCAGAAAGAACCCCTCAGAGCCAGGGCCCAGGGCCTGCATCCTAGCATCCCGGCACTGTGAGAGTTCAACAAACACTTGCTGAGTTAATGGATGAATTTCATTTTAAATCAAGGTCTGTACTTTTCATGTTCTAGGCTGTGAATGAAGTGTAGGTAGGTAGTTCTGTGAAGTACACCGGCTCTCACCAAATGACTTTTTTTAATGGGTTAAAAATTTTTTAATTTTTATGATTGTGGTTAAATAGTCATAACATAAAATTTACCATTTAACTGTACATGTTTAAGTGTACAATTCTGTGGTATTAAGTATATTCATTGTTGTGTAATAATTATCACTATCCATTTCCAGAACTTTTTCATCTTCCCCAACTGAAACTCTGTACCCATTTCACACTAACTCCCCATTCCTCCCTCCCCCTTCCCCCCTACCCCCTCACCCTTAAAACCACTATTCTAATTTGTCTCTATAAATCTGACTACTCTAGGTACCTCATGTAAGTGTAATCATATAATATTTGCTCTTTTATGACTGGCTTATTCACTTAGCATAAAGTCTTCTAGGTTCATCCATGGCCTAGCATGTGTCAGAATTTTCCTCCTTTTTAAGGCTGAACATACCACATTTTATGCATGCATTCAACTAGCGATGGATTTTAAGAATAACCAGGAAGGAGAAAGGTTTCACTCACCCAAAGCCAGTTTTTCCCGAAACCCCGCCCGGTCTCATCATAGGCTCAGCCCAAGCCAAGGATGACCCCGCCTCCCTCCCTGCCAATCAACCGCTCCTCGCGCCTGCGCAAGCACCGCCCAGAGCCCCGCGCCAGCCACCGCCCCGAGGCTGTCCCAGGCGGTTAAGTCCGGCCGAAGCTTTTCCTTCACTGGCCCGCCCACCATGACGATCACCTACAGCTGTATTGCTAATGGCCGAGCGGTCCTAGCGGAGCTGGCCCTGACCGGAGGCTCCTATCAGGTACCCCTGGGTCCTGACCGCCACCTCGGCAGGCCCCGCCTCTTCAAGGGTGGTGCCTGCCGGGCCCGCCCCTCAGGACGCGGCGCCCCCGGGCGGCCGGGAGCAGGCCGTGGTGGGCGAGAGGCCCCGCCCCGCGAGAGGCTGGCTTCTGTGAGCTGCGGAGCCTGCGAGCGGGTATTGAATCCCGACCGCGGGGCCGCACGTGCGCCGTCTAGGGGTTAGGGTTGGTGGTGCACGCGACCCCTTTGGAGGAGACCCTTAAATATTTTAACTCCCCTTGAGGAGAAATGACTTTCAGTTCAGCACACATTTATTGAACATGTGTTAGTTGCATCATCCCGGGGCAAAGGTGTGGGGGATGCAGCAATGAAGAAAAGACGGGACCTGCAGTTGCCCTTTGATGAGCTCGTTGTTTCTTTATGACCAAGGACTATATAGTTTGTCCTACAGTGTAAAAGCCTTCCAGTGGAGACAGGTCGAGATTGCTCCTGTAGCATTCAGGATGGTGGCTGCTCGCTGACCACAGCAGAGGTGATATCAGGGTGGTTGGCTTGGAAGCCTTATAAGAGTTAGTCTTAGCCTGAGACAGGAAAGAGAAATGTGGGCTCCACTCAGATGGAACGGCACGGTGTGTTTGGGGAACCTCAAGATCCTCAGTGTGGCTAGAACACAGGGTCGCGATATGTAGGGCTAAAGATTAGGTCAAGAAAGCGGACAGAGAATAATTAATGAAGAGTCCTATACTGTTTGTTTTCTTATTGTAGGGAAACTGGAGAGCAATTAAACAGAGGAATAGCAGGATCTGATTCATCTTTGGAAAACTTGGTTTGGTTATAATATGGAAGGTGAATTGGAGGGGAGAGAACCAGTTAGGATGGCATTGCTGTAGATTCTGTAGGAGATTGAAGGGTGTGAGCAAAGGGCAGTGAGGTGCAGATGGAAAGGAGGGGGCAGATCCTAAAGAGATTGTAAAACTAAGGGAACTGAGTCATGCCTGGAATGATTCTCAATTTTTTTTCAATCATTTCTCCCCAGAATTACTAAGACATAATTCACATATGACAGTGTATAAATTTAAGGTGTACCACATGATGATTTGTCAAATTTTTTCCTCAGGTGGCATTAAACAAGATTGAAACTACAGATGGAGGAGCAGGATTGTGAGGAAGTCAGAGGAAATGCAAGGGAGGAGAGTATAGTTTGGGACAGGTTGAATTTTGTTGCCTCTTGGCAACAAAATTGGACGTGGCCAATCTATTCGTGTCTTTCTTCCTCCACCTTATTCCCAAAAGATTTAAGTCAACAAAATGTCCAATACGTAGCACTAATAGGTAGCACTCAGAGGGTCATGGCTAAGAGTTGAAGCTAGTAGAAGAGGGTAGAAAAGAAAAGTATGAGAGGGAGGAGAGAAGAGGACCAAAAGGCAGAACACTGTTTAGGAGCAGGAGAGAGAAGGGGACCCAAATGAGAGCAGTGGCGTCCTGAAAGCCAAGAGAAGAAAGTTACAAGAATGTTTTATGCCCCAAAGAAGTTGAGCAAGACCTAAAAGGTGCTTATTGGACTCTACAATTAGAAGAAGATTGGTGGGGGTGCCTGGGTGGCTCTGCTTTTGCCTCAGGTCATGATCTTGGGGTCCTGGGATCGAGCCCCACATCGAGCCCCAGATCAGGCTCCCTGCTCAGTGGGGCGTCTGCTTCTCCCTCTCTGTCTCCCCGCTGCTCCTGCTCTCTCTCTTGCTCCTACTCTCTCTCTCTCAAATAAAATAAATTTAGATCTTTAAAAAAAAAAAAAACAAAAAAGATGATTGGTGACCTTACAGGTAGCAGTTTGGAAGAAGTGGTAGAGGCAGAAGCCAGATTGCTTGAGGCCAACTGAATGGGAGATGAGGAAGTCAGGAGAACAAAGTTAGATATTCTAAGAATTTAGAAAGGGAGTGAGATGGGGTGAAAGCTGAAGAAGCATGGTGCGGGAAGGGGCCTTATTTTTCAGAACAGGAAAGACTTTCAGCATATGTAGGCTATTGGGAAGCATCTAACTTGGTTCTGGCTCAGGTCTAGAGGTTGTGGGATCGAGCCCTGCCTCGGGCTCCGCACTCAATGCAGAGTGTGCTTCAGATTCTTTCTCCTCTCCCTCTGCCCCTCTCCCTCTGCCCCTCCCCACTCATGCGCTTTCTCTATCTCTCTCTCTCTCTCCCTCTCAAAGAGGGAGAGGGAGAGGGAGATCGAATCTCATGGATTGTGAGATCAAGACCCACATGGGGATTCTCTCTCTCTGCCCCTTCACCCACCCCCAAGCACATGTGCTCGCTCGCTCTCACTCTCTCGCTCTCAAATAAATAAATAAATCTTAAAAAAAAAAAAAAGGAATGTGGCTATTCAAGTCTTCCTAGGTAACTTTCAGGTTCCTTTCACATTTCTAAAGTAAATTAATAGGACTCCATACAATTAACCATATTTAAGATATTCTGAATAATCATCAACATCTTGCACATTTTCCCCCAGAGGATGAGCCTTACAAGAAACAGAAAAAAGAGACCTTGAAAATTATCTGTTTCACAGAAAGAAATCAGTGAATAATATTGAATAAAAAATGTTTATCTTAATCAAAATAAAGAAGAATGCAGAAAGAAAGAAAGAAAGAAAGAAAGAAAGAAAGAAAGAGAAAGAAAGAAAGAAAGAAAGAAAGAAAGAAAGAAAGAAAGAAAGAAAGAAAGAAAGAAAGAAAAAGAAAGAAAGAAAGAAAGAAAGAAAGAGAAAAAGAAAGAAAGAAAGAAAGAAAAAAAAGAAAAAGAAAAAAGAAAGAAAGCAGGCTTAGGATATTCAAAGAATAAGCACTGAATAGGTTTTTTTAAGATTTATTTTTATTTTGGAGAGAGAACGCACACAGGGGAGGGGCAAAGGGAGAGAGAAAAATCTCAAGCAGACTCCCCGCTGAGCATGGAACCCCCACCCCCACCGCTCAACACAAGGCTCAATCTCATGACCCTGAGATCATGACCTGAGCAGAAATCAAGAGTTGGACACTCAACCATGAGCCAACCAGGCGCCCCAAGGGCTGAATAGTTTTAATCCATCAACATTTTTAGGTATAGTTTCAGTGACTACAAGTCACTGAAAAGATGTTTGATTAGATAGTGCTTCCCAGCCTTAAAGCCAGATGTAAGATGTGACTCTAAGACTGATTAGTGCAACCTGTATTTGCACACATAAGTATACACACAAGTATATGTATATTTGTGTAATTTTCATATTTTTCTTCAGATTCAAATGACTTATTTCATAACTTACCTCTTGCCACACATTCTGACTAACTACCCATTAGTTCTACTAGTGAACACTTGCTCTTTAATAAACCAATCAGACCATTGGTAAATTTAGGGAGAGGATTAAGTAAAGACACTACAGTGTTCCCCAAAGTAAATGCTGGTAATTTATTTTTAGGAAGCAGCAGCAACAGTGCTTAAACTAGTGCTTCTTAGAGCTGAGCCAAAGACCATAATGCAGATGGGAAGGTAAGGTTTATTCTCATAAAAGACTGCTTTTTAACAATAGTAATGACATGAAGGAAAAAAAGGTTAGTTGCACGTGCTCTCAGTTGAACCCTCAAAAAGGAGAACTTCCATATGTAAAAGGTAAGATCAAATGAGAATAATTAACACCAAATTCAAGATAGTGGTTACCTCTGCAAAAAGGGAGGAAAAAATGAAGTTGGGAAAGAATAGCCATGGGACATGAATTGTATCTGTAACATTTTACCCAGATGGCAGGTCTAAAATATTCTTGTTATCTTATTCTCCAAACTTCTTTAGTATACCCAAAATATTTCATTAATGAAAAAGGAAACTTCCACTTGAAACATCTTTAATAAGACCACTCTAAGCTATACTTGGGACACTACATGGTATGGCCTAAGCCAGTCTTGACACCATTTTGTTAGTAAAAGAACAGGTGGGAAATAAGAGCATCTATTACTTCTAGACTCATCATTTTTCTTTTTAAGAGCAGGTTTGTTTTAACCCTTATATTGTAAGAATAAAACAAAATACAAAAACCACATCAAGTGAAAGTATAGCTTTGTGAAGCTTTACAAGGAAACCTCCCCACCACCTGCAGCTACCACCTAAGCCAAAAATATGGAATCCTGCCAGCCATCCCCGAAACGGCCGGCCATGCGTCCTGTCCCATCCACAGTTTCGTCCCTCTTCCCCACCATTCCAGCCCCTATAGCAGTCACTTACCCTGGGTCTTCACTGCCTCAGCACCTAAATACGCAACCTCAGACACAAGAGCCTAATCCCACACGATTTTTTTCTTTTGGTGTCTTTTACACCTCTTTAATCTATATTTTTCCCCCTCCATCCCTTTCCTTTCCTTACAGTTTATCACTGAAGAACCTGTGGAGTGTAGTTTCCCACTCTCTGGTTTTGCTGACTGCAGAATGCAGTTCACCATGTTTCACGCGGCTGAATCCACAGGCTGAATCCCTTCCGCAAGACTATAGGTGCTTTTTTCCATCAGATGGTACATGTGTCTACCTGTATCTCCTTTTGACATGCTAGGTACATGTGTCTACCTGTATCTCCTTTTGACATGCTAGCAGCCAGTACTATTCCTTGCTGATACCCTAGAGCCATTCATTGACTGGGGAGTGCAAAATGGTGATATTCTAGTTTTGTTCTCACTTATTAGCCAGCATGATTTCAAAAGGAGATTCTTTTCTCATCTACTATTTGCTTTCCTAGATTATGCATTCTAATTTGAATCTTTTGAAGATCTCTTCCTGAATTCCTGATTCATAAATCCAACTGCCTATTATGCATTTCTGTTGGATGTCTAATGGGCATCTCAAACTTATGTCCAAAACCAAGCCCCCCCTACAGTCTTGCACGTATCACTTTTCCAGCTTCTCAGGCCTGAAACCTTTGTGATCCTCGACTTTAGTCTCTTTGACATCCAAACCCAATCCATCAGCAAATCCTGTTGCCTTTCCCTTCCAAATATCCGGAATCCGACCGCCTCCAGCCCTACCATGGGAACCATGCCACCATCATCTCTTGTCTGGGTTCCTCCATACAAAGTGAGGTTCATTTTTGTCATTTTTTTTATTTACAAGAATTTCTCTCTTAGAGTTTGATTTAATAGCTTTTATAATTATGCAAAACATGCATGTGGTTCCAAAGTCAAAATGAGAAAACAACTTTAAGAAGTCTAATTCCCCCCCCAAAAAAAGAAGTCTAATTTTCATTCCTGTCCTCTCCACACTGTTCTCCCTTCCCTGCAGACAGATAACCATTTTGACAAAGTTTTCAGTTTGTCATTTTCTTTTTCTTCTCTTTTCTTTTCTTTTCTTTTCTTTTCCGTAAGAGACACATGCATATATGTGCATTTCCCTTCAGGGAGCATATGAGGATGATAGATAAATGGTAGTACCATGTACACAGTTTTCCTCATCTTGCCTTTGTTAATTACAGTGTATCCTGGACATTGGGTATTCAAGTTTTTTAACTTTTAAAGATGGTTTCTGAATGTTACTCACTAATAACGTACTAAGCATAAATTTAAAATATTTCTTTCCTCACATCCAATATCAATTTACTTCAAATCACATATATACCTTTCAGGGAGATGATAGAATTAGCAACTCTTTTTCAACAAAGACTCCTCCCAAAATAATAATATTTTCAAGTAGAGATTATGTGTATCAATATCATCATTAAAAATATTTGTAGCATATTGTATTCATATGATATGAAGGATTTACATGGAAAGGGCGGGCACATTAAATTTTTTGCCTCTGGGATTATCTTTTCTCCCTGTTTCTGAGATCTGTCATTTTTGTGTATATCCAATTTAGCATCTGACCAGGTCTATTGCCTGCTAACCATTTGGATATAGAGTGTTCAGAATGACTAGATTCAAAGTCTAGGCACCAAGCAACTATTTTTTCTTTACCATATTTTTAAATTTTCTGGATTGTTGGGCAGTAAAGATGGAGGCACTTTCCAGGAATCTTCTAGCTTCCTAACATGTGACTCTGAGAAGGCACAAAAGGTCAGCTAAGATACACTTCCACATACTGTAGGGGAGTTTAATTTCCCCCTCCCCAATATTCAGAATATTTAGTATTGGCACTTTACAACTTTTAAATTCTAATCTATCATACTAGAAAGCCAAGAAGTACCAAAATTAAATATGCCTTCCTAAAGATATAAGGATAGTAAAAATCAGTGAACATAGCATTTTCTACTTGATGAGAATCTTTATTCAGTCTTGGAATGAGTAATTATCTATCAAAGCCATTTTTTTAAGATTTTATTTATTTATTTGAGAGAAAGAGAGCACAAGCGGGGGGGCAGGGCAAAGGGAGAAGCAGACTCCCTGCCAAGCAGGGAACCCGTCATGGGGCTCGATCCCAGGACCCCGCGATCATGACCAGAGCTGGAGGCAGACACTTAACTGACTGAGCCACCCAGGTGCCCCATCAAAGCCATTTTAAATATAGATAGATAAATAGATTCTCTTTATTGTATTTCATTTTTATTGATGGAATTTTAAATACATATTCTAATCTTATAGTTTTTATTTAACATAATTTAATTTTTCACATATATGAAAGATTTTCTAATTCTCATTATAAAAAGTTACCTATACAACTTGTACACTACTACTGAGAGCTTGGGAAAAAGTAGATTCTCTGTGAGGGTACTTAATTTCTTCAATGTTATCATGTAAATGAATGTATTCTTTTCAAAGCTTTGTCTACCATACTCTCTTTATTGATGGAATCACTTACCTATGTGCCACAGACAATGCCTTGGATACCATAACACCATCTGCCTTTCTTAAAAATGTAAGTAATTTCTTAATACTACTTCAAGGACTTTTTCACTTATTGAAATTATGAAGTCTCTTTTTTTTAAAGATTCTATTTATTCATTTGAGACACAGAGATAGAGAGAGAGAGAGAGCATGAGCTGGGAGAGAGGCAGAGGGAGAGGGAGAAGCAGGCTCCCTGCTGAGTCAGGAGCCCAATGTGGGACTTGATCTCAGGACCCCGGGATCATGACCTGAGCCGAAGGCAAACGCTTAACCATTTGAGCCACCCAGGTACCCCATGAGGTCTCTATTTTATAGTGTGTTCGTAGTTGTGTCACTAACTGAAAGCAGATCACTCATTTGTCTATAAAACAGAGCATTAATGACCTTCAGAGATTTCTTTTTTTTGACCTTCAGAGATTTCTTACCCCTATCCTTCATCTGCCCTGTTTCCACACTTCTCCAGACCCTAAAGCAGGTCTGCAAAGACTACCCACACAGATCTATTAGACTCTCTCCTAGTATTTATCTTGTTCTTTACACATAAGAGAGAAATTAAATTTTCCTAATATTTAATATACCATTTCAATAGCATGTGTATTTAATTTACAAATAGGAGTGCCTGGGTGGCTCAGTCGGTTAAGCATCCAATTCTTGATTTTGGCTCAGGTCATGATCTCAGGATCATGGGATCAAGCCCCACCTCAGGCTCCCTTGCTTAGTGGGGAGTCTTCTTGGGATTCTCTCTCTGCTCCTCCCCCCCATTTGTGCGTGCTCTCTCTAAAATAAATAAATAGATCTTTTCTAAGATAAATAAATAAGTAAAATATATTAATGGAAAAATCAGTCAGCAATACTATAGTGACTAACAGTTATTTTCAGTCATATTCATGAATCATGCACATATTTGTTAGTGTACTGTCTTACTTCAACACAACTGAAACTGTAACCACATATAGAATCAAGGATTCTAAGGACTAATATTGAAATTCACTCTCCAGATACACCTTGATAAGTGCTAGAGTCTAGATGCTAAACACTGTTAGTAATTTAAGTGACTGTACTTTAATTGTTCTCCCTCTCTGCTACTATGACAAAACATCCGAACTTTACCACCTTTCCAAAACCAGATACCAAATTGCTAACCACATACATTTTACCACTATTTCTGGGGAATACAATATGGAGTACAAACAATTGCAAGAATTCCTTCTGGAGACTTTGAAATGTCCTCTAACAACCATAAAAGTTGTTGGAAAAAGAAAAAAAATAACGGTTTGAAAGATAGTACCATGACATTCAGTTGGGATTGTTTCATCATTGTTGAATGGATTTTGAAGGGAGGAGGAAGAGGGCAAAATAAAAAACACTTATTTAGAAAAGATCATGGAATCCCATCTCTCTCTGTGTGCCAGAGGTGAGCATCTGCTCTTCCCCTCAAGTCCTCAGACATACCAAAGACTCAAAGTGCTATTTGCAGTCTCACTGTATGAGATTGTGATCTGTACTACAGCAGCAGAGAAGAATGGGCAAGCACAGTTGTCCTACATACTGCATCTTTGATTGGAAAGGACACCCTGCCACCAAAAAGCTAGAAATAGTGTGGAAATAGAATATTATTTCACATTTCTGCCAGACTTTGCTTCAAATTAACTCTGTAATTCTCCAGTTGAAGTTATCTAAATAGGTTAAATGTTTCCATTAACGTCCCCAGGTTAGTGATACTTTTCTGAGAAATCCTTTGATGTCGCAAGAACATTTTTCTCCTTCAAATGCAGTTGCTGCAGATTTTCAACAAGTATTAGGAAAGTATATGGTATGTAACCTTCAACTATACTCCTAAACATTGTATTACAGCTGACAAAACTGTATGGAATTAGGAGAGAAGAGCTTTAAAGATGAGTGAGAACAGAGAACTTCTATCTTTATATAATGACAAAGAATATTCTTGATATACAGATAAGTGAATAAAGCAAGATAGATAAAGTATGTATGGTGTACTATTGTTTACTATTCTTATTTGCAACCATTTAAGAAAGAGAGAATAAATACAAATATACATATTTGTTTGCTTATAGTAAAAAACAAGGGGGGTGGGGGCAAGAAAAGGATAAACCAAAAACATTTTAATGGTTGCCTATATAGTGATAGGGGACAGGAATAGAAACTAGGCCTCTCTGAATGAAACTTGTTTTGCAGATTTGACTTTGGAACCATGTAAATATCTTACATAATTATAAAATAAAAAATAAAATTACATAAAATTATAAAATTAAATATTTAAAAAAATGTCCATAGAGTGAAATAAGACAGTCAGAAGAGGACAAATACTGTGTGATTCCACATATATGAAATACCTAAGTAGTCAGAGTTATAAAGACAAAAAGCAGAAGGGTTGTTGCCAGAGCCCGGGGAAAAGGGATGAGGAGGAATTAGTGTTTAATGGTACAGAGTTTCAGTTGGGGAAGATGGAAAATGTTCTGGAGATGGTGGTGGTGATAATTGCCCAACATTGTGAATATACTTAATGCCACTGAACTATTAAGTTAAAAATCATTATAATTATAAACTTTGTTATGTATATCTTACCATAATAATTTTTTTAATTTTTAAAAAGTAATCCCTAAAACTCAAAAGAAAAAAAAAACAAGAACCTAATTGTGTATTGAGTTGATGACTTGAAAGACAGTGAAAATTTATTTCAAGTGACTTTAAAACACAATAATCTGATTGTATATTCCTAGTGAAATTATACCCTAATGACAAAAGAACTAAAAATAAATCTTAAAGTATTTATTTTCAAGTGTCACATTGTTAGTGATAACATTGGTGTTGCTATTCTTAAATTGGTTTATATAGATATATTACTTTGAGCAAGAAAGTTAATGTCATTAGGAATCAAGATTTTCAGCAAGAGTTGCAAATATAAGGTCAAAGAATTAAGTAAAACCTTATAATCCTAAATTTTAATTGAAAATTAAATATTTTTAAAAGAAAATCATACTGTGAAATTTTTAATTGAAAATTAAATATTGAAAGCTCCACTGACTGAGCCAGCCAAGCACCCCAAAAATTTTTTCATTAAAAATATATTACATGATATATTTTCTCTTTAAAAAAAAAAGTATTTCCTACCCTACCTACTGAAAAACTTTAGAAATAATGAGCAACCCAAAAGCAGTGTGCCCCCTTAGCATCTAGATTATAGTCTCTAAATACCATTTTACACCAAAAGGAACCAGGCCTGATTGCAGATATCAGGCAGGAAACATAGAAGCCAGAAGCATTTTGTCATGCCAGAAACAAGGAAGCTATCAAAGTTCACTGTGCTCATGGCAAAAGACTTCAGGAGCCAACTTAAAGAGGCTAACACTGGTCAGTAAAGGAATAACTTGAACATCGAAAAGAATAATAACTGCAGTGGATTGTAACACATCAAATATGTTAAATTCCATGAGTTCCTAGATACTATCAAAGACAAAATAATCCCTCATCAGTCAACCTGGAAGATACTAAGGATCCACCTCAACACTCTGAAAACCAATAAATAAAGACTCAACCATTTATTCTGACTTTCCTATATGAACTGTACCTCAAAGAAAACAAGTAGTTGATAGGGAAAATGGTTTTTTGGTCTTTATAGAAGTATTCCAGCTAATAAACAAAGAAGAGGTGATAAATTTCACTATTTTATAATCCCTGATGAAATCATTTATCTAAGCAGTCATCATCAATGACTGAAAAAATTAGGTGAAAAGCTGTGAGGAACTTCCTAACAGATGAAACGGGCTCAACACACCTAAACCCATTGATTATTCCTAAGGTCACAATAACGGAGATGATCAATCATTAGTTATGTTTCCTACTTTTACACAATGAGTAGTATAAAGCACACATCTGAAGTATACTTGCCCAAAACATCAAACCTGAATATGATCAAGCCTTCATATCTAACTACCAGTTTGCAGGAAATAGAGAGATCAGTGACCAATTAAACGATACCACAGCAATGCAATCAGCAAAATCCAGAATATGAGAAAATCTACAAGACAAATAATCCAATTTCTTCAACAAATAAATTGCAACAGGGAAAAAGTTAAGGAGAACTCATAGATTAAAAGAGACTTACACATATCAATTAAATGTGGACTTTGGTTCCTGGATCAATAAAATAAATGTTAAAAAAAAACCAACAACGATTTGTTTTTGATAAATTTGTACACAAACTGGATGTTTGATGATGTTAAGGAATTTCTGTAGATGTGATAATGTTGTGGTTTCATTTTTAAGAAAAATGAGGCCATATCTTTTAGAGATACAAACTGAGGCATTTACAAATTAAAATAATATAATGTCTGGGATTTGCTTTGAAATAATGCATTTGAGGAAGGGATAATCAGTAGTAGTACAGATGAAACAAGATTGGCTATGTGTTGATACTAGGTGATGGGCACTTAAGGATTGATTATACTGTTCACTTTGCATTTGTGTATGTTTGAACTTTTCCATAATAAAGTATTCTAGGTATACCGGCTTTAGTTTTCTATTATGTATCTAACAAATCCTACAAATCAGCCTAAAACAGCACACGCTTATCGTCTCATAGTTCGTGTGGGTCAGGAATCCAGGCCCCACTTAACAGGTTCTCTTCTCAGGTCTCACAAAGCTGCGGTGAGTGTCGTAGGCCAGGCTATGTTCTCATCTGGAAGCTCGGGAAGATTCAGCTTCCAGGCTCATTTAGAACCTGTTGCAGGATTCATTTCTTTATAGCTCTTCCAGGGATGCAGCTTTTTGTTGGCTGTTGGCCAGGGGACACCCTCAAATCCTAGAGACTGATAATAGTTCTTGCCACTTTGCCATCCTCAGTATGGCTGCTTGCTTCTCAAGGCTAGCAGAGGAATCTCTCTACTACAGTTTACTAAATTTTTTTTAATAAACTTCTGGGGTTTTTTTTCTAAGATTTTATTTATTTATTTGATAGAGAGAGACACAGCGAGAGAGGGAACACAAGCAGGGGGAGTGGGAGAGGGAGAAGCAGGCTTCCCGCCGAGCAGGGAGCCCGATGCCAGGCTCGATCCCAGGACCCTGGGATCATGAACTGAGCCAAAGGCAGACACTTAACAACTGAGCCACCCTGGCCCCCCCAGTTTACTAAATTTTATATAATGTGACATAATCACAAGAGTGACATCCCATCACCTTTGTTATTAATTAGAAGCAAGTCATACTTGGAGGTTCGTTTCAAGGATGTGATGCATGGGGGGGTGGTCACCATAGGGTGTGTCCACCACAATGCCTGAAAAATAATTAAGGATAGATGCTTTTATTTCAAATTCATAAATTTTCTTGTGAAGAATTCTGCATATTCAACACAGCCAAAATATATTATTGACATAGCTCCCTGAAAATTAGTTACCATATGAAAATATGCATATTTTAAGCAGTTAACACATCTGACATCAAAGAAATTTCTGTTTAACATTTATAAACTAACCTGGTAAGCATTAAATCTGTGGAAAATTTTATAAAAGTTATTGAACTTCTTATACAATAGTTAACAAAATAAAAATAGTTTTGAGAAATTTAAATACGTGTGTGTGTATGTGTGTAGAAGCTTAACATCAATGAATGGACTATGAATACATTATCTTAACAAAACTTAAATGATTCCCTTAGGTTAAAAAAGATTAAGCATTTTTTAAAAGGAGAGAAAGAGAAAAAAAGGAAAAGAAAAATAAAAAATTAACCATTGATCTTAACTTGATTATATCTGCAAAGACCTTATTTCCAGATAAGGTCACATTCACAGCTATCTGGCGTTAGGAATTGAACCTATCTTTTTGGAGGGACACAATTCAACTAGCAACCTCTTCTTTTCTACATTTACCTAGTGAGCTCCTCACAGAACATCAATTGTAGATTGCATGATCCAATAACCAGCAAGATCAGCGTTCTGTTTAAGATGGATTTGAGCGGCGCCTGGGTGGTTCAGCCAGTTGAGTGTCTGCCTTGGGCTCAGGTCATGATCCCAGGGTCCTGAGATTGAGCCCTGTGGCGGGCTCCTGCCCAGGAGGGAGTCTGCTTCTCTCTCTCCCTCTGCCCTTCCTCCCACTCATGCTCTCTCTCTCTCTCTCTCTCTCTCGCTTGCTCAACCTCTCAAATAGATAAAATCTTAAAAAAAAAAAAAAGATGGGGGCTCCTGGGTGGCTCAGGTCATGATCTCAGGGTCCTGGGATCAAGCCCTGCATTGGTCTCCCTGCTCAGCGGGGAATCTGCTTCTCCCTCTCCCTTTGCCACTCTTCCTGCTCATGCTCTCTCTCTCTCATTCTCTCTCTCTCTTGCTCCCTCAAAGAAATAAATAAAATACTTTTTAAAAAGATCTTAATTTTTTTAAAAGGTGGATTTGATCAATTGCCAAAGAGCAGGGGGTTTTAATATTATTTTTATTTAAAAACTAATGCTCATTAATAAAGTAAAATAACATAAAATATATAAAGCAAAATACGCTTTATTTTGAATACAAAGCAAATATAAAGCAAAGCTTTAAAATATAAAGCAAAATACAATCTCAGTCAAACCCTTGAAGTGAGCACTCTTAACAGACAACCTAGTGCATAACCTTCCAGAATTATTTATATATAAATATGCATATAATAAATATATCTGAATATACATTTTATATGCATGTATGTTTGTAATATATGTAACATAAGTTTATACATACCTTTTAAATTCACAAAACTGAGGTCATTAATGCAATGGGTAAAGGCTTAATCTCTGGAGCTTGAGTCTGTCCTTGTTTTGTTGTGTAACAATTTTGGTACCTTATTATTTTCAGTCTCAGTTTTCGTTTCTTTTTTTTTATTTTAAGTAGGTTCCACACCCAACATGGAGCCTGAACTCAAGACCCTGAGATCAAGAGTCAAGCACTCTAGCAACTGCACCAGTCAGGGACCCCTCAGTTTTCTTCTTTAGAAAATAAAAGATGATAAAAATACTACTTTATATGGTGGCTTGGGAATTAAATGAGTTAATATGTGTGAAGTGCTTAAAACAGTACCTGGCACATATTAAGTGTTCAATAAGTTATTATTTGATATTGTTCTGCAGCTGCAGCTTACTTTTTTAATATAACACTCTATTGTAGAGATCATTTTTGTTAATATGGATAAAGTAGAAGACAAAAATAGGAACAAAGGACAAGAACAATGAATGGAAAACAGTAACAAATATGGTAGATATTAGTCCAACTATATCAATAATCATTTTAAAAGTTAATGGTCTAAATATAGCAATTAAGAGACAGAGATTGGATCAAAAAACTGTCAAGAGAATGAGAAGACAAGCCATGGACTGGAAAAAAAATATTTGCAAAAGACACATCTGATAAAATTACAGACCGGGAGAAAATATTTGCAAAAGACACATTTGTTATCCAAAATACACAAAGAACTCTGAAAACTCAACAATTCGATGATAAACAATCTGATCAAAAAATGGGCCAAACGGGCACCTGGCTGGCTCAGTCAGTAGAGCACGCAACTCTTGATCTTGGGGTTGTAGGTTTGAGCCCCATGTTGGATGTAGAGATTACTTAAAAAAATAAAGTCTTTAAAATAAATGGGCCGCTGACCTGAATAGATGCCTCACCAAAGAAGATCAAAGAAGGTGGCAAATAAACACGAAAAGATGATCATACATCATTAGGGAATTGCAAATTAAAACAACAATAAGATACCCCCTACCTATTAGAAAGGCCAAAATTCACACTGACAACACCTAATACTGACAAGGAGGTGGGGCAATAGGAACTCATATTCACTGCTGATGGGAATGCAAAATGGAACAGTCACTTTGGAAGACAGTTTGGCAGTTTCTTACAAAACTAACCATACCTTACCATACAATCCAGCAATCACACCCTTGGTATTCACATAAGTTGAAAAATTATGTCCACACAAAAACCTGCATACAAGTGTTATAGCAGCTTTATTGATAATTGCCAAAGCATGGAAGCACCCCAGATGTCTTTCCATAGGTAAATGGATAAACTGTGGTACATCCAAACAATTGACTATCATTCAACACTAAAAAGAAATGAGCAAGCAAGCCATGAAAAGATATGGGGGAATCTTAAATGCATATTACTAAGTGAAAAAAGCCAACATGAAAAGGCTGCTTGATTCCAACTCTATGACATTCTGGAAAAGACAAAGCCATGGTGACAGTAAAAAGACCAATTGCTACTAGGGCTTAGGGAGAAGGGAGGCATGAATAGGTGGAGCACAGAGGATTTTAAGGGCAGTGAAACTGTTCTGTATGCTACTGTAATGGTGAACACATGTCATTATGCATTTGTCCAAACCAAGGGAATGTACAGCACCAACAGTGAACCGTAAAGTAAACTATGGACTTTGGGTGATAATGATACATCAATAGAGGGTCATCCATTGTAGCAAATGTACCACTCTAGTGTGGGATGTTGATAGGGAGCTGGGGAGTCAGGGGGTGGAGGAGATAAGGATATGTGAGGACTCTGTACTTTCCACTCAATTTTACTGTGACCCTAAAACTTCTCTTTAAAAAACTATATAAATCTATAAATAAACAACTTAAAAAAAAAAAAGACTTCCACCACTGATTGAATACATTGAAATATCACTCTCCTGTCCATCCCCCCCACCTTTTCTTAGCAAGATTAAGGTGGAACAATCTGAAGCTTAGTTGATTCCTTATGCTGAAAAACAAGTGAAATGTACCTTTGACACTTTTGTTCAATTTGTACAATATATTGTAATAGATTTTAATTATAGAAAATAATATTTGTATTATATTTCACTTCTATATAGATGAAATACAATAAAAATCAAGATGATAGCTCAATATCTACACTGAGGAGTCAAGTAACTGATGTAAAAAATATTATGTCCCAAAATATTGATGAAATTTTGGAAAGCGAAAACAGACTGGATATCTTCACTGATAGAACCAATGATCTGCAAACAACTGTAAGTGATGCTCACCTGTCTTGATATCTAAATAGTGCTCAAAACAAATGGCCAAAAGCAAATACATACCAGGGATACTGTGAGATAATCTTATGTTGCCAAACTATGGCTTTATCAAAAAATTATTGGAATGCAACTAAAGTATTTTTTAATTATAGAACAATGAAAATTAAAAGTCCATTAAAGTAGTAGGTGGTTATCTGCATAACAGATATATTTCTTACATTAAGAAACAGACAGCTTAGTCAACAAATAAATTGCAAGGGAAAAAAAAAAGGGAGAACTTACCAAAACATTGGTTTAAAAGGTGTATCAATTGCAATACTTATTTGGAATTTAACTCAAACTATAAAAATGAAAATTTGCAACTTCAGGAGATAATTAGGTATTTGAACTCTGACTGGATATTAGATAACATTAAGGAGTATTATTAATTTTTAGATATGATAATGGTATTATAGTTATGCTTTAAAGAGTCATTACTTATTAGAGATACATATTAAACTATTTTGAGTGAATTTATATAATGTCTGAGATTAGCTTCAGAATAGGTCAGGAGTAGAATGGGGTATAAGTGAAACAAAATTGGCCATAAATTGATAACTGTTAAAACTGGATGTTGAGTGTGCCTGGGTGGCTCAGTGAGTTGAGTGTCTGCCTTTGGCTCAGGTCATGATCCTGGGTCCTGGGACAGAGCCCAGAGGTGGGCTCCCTACTCAACAGGGAGTCTGCTTCTCCCTCTCCCTCAGCACCCCCTCCAGCTTGTGCTCTCTCTTTCAAATAAATAAATAAAATCTTTAAAAAAAAAAAAAACCTGGATGTTGAGTATGTAGGGGTTCATTATACCATTCTGTCAACTTTTGTATATGTTCAAAATTCTCTATTAGAAAGTACTTTTAAAGGAATCAGTGAGGTTTGAATAGTTAATTACCTTAGACCACCTTAGAGCATTTTAAATTTTATTTTTACAGATCTTTTCTAGAAACACAGCCACCATGTAAAACAAAATATGCACATACTTTTTACTCACCAAGTTCTACTGATTCTACCTCCTAAATCTTTTTTGTTCTTGGCCTTGTTTTTTCACTTTTAGAAACAACTTATTAAGATATTATTTACGTAAAATAATATTCACCCACTTTAAGTATAGAGTTTGATGAATTGTGGTACTTGTGTACAATTGTGTAACCACAATTAAGTTATAGAATAGCTCTTTCATCTTAAAATCTTCCTACTGCCCTTTGCAGCTGACTTCCCCCACCCTGACCCCAGCTACAACTGATCTGTTTTCTGTCACTATAGAGTTGCCTTTTCTAGAATTTCATATGAATAAAATTATACAATACATATTGTGTCCGACTTTTTGACTTAGTAATAATTTTTTGATACTCATGTTGTGTGTGTTAGTATTTTATTCCTTTTCATTGCTGGATAATATTCCACAGAATGGCTAAATTCCACCTTCTGCTCATTCAGTACCACTCATTATGTCACACCACACTCTATTATTTCTTTTCTAACTATTGTCTTCCCTCTATTTAATTGTTCTCCCTATTTTTAGTTCTATTCTACTCTAGTCATCCTCCACACTGAAACTAGACTATTCTTTAAAAATGCAAGTATCATGGTTTCCTTTCCTATGCAAAAGTTTTTTTACTTTGGCATAGTCCCAATAGTTTATGTTTGCTTTTGTTTTCCTTGCCTAAGAAGACATATCCATAAATAGGTTGCTAAAGCCAATATCCAAGAAATTATTTCCCATTTCTTTTAGGAGTTTTATGGTTTCAGGTCTCACATTTAGGTCTTTAATCCATTTTGAGTGCATGGTGTAAGACAGTGGTTCAATTTCATTCTTTTGAATATAGCTAATTTTCCCAACACTGTTTATTGGAGACTGTCCTTTCCCCATTGTATATTCATGCCTCCTTTGTCATAGATTAATTGACCATATACGCATGGGTTTTTTACTGGGCTCTCTATCCTGTTCCATTGATCCATGTGTCTCTTTTTGTGCCAATACTATTCTGTTTTGATTACTATAGCTTTGTGAAATCTAAAAAATAAAATAAATAAACAAAACAGAAACAGACTCATAAATGCCAAGAAAAAACTGGTGGTAGCCAGAGGGGAGGGTTTGGAAGAGCAGACAAAATAGGTGAAGGACAGGGGCACCTGGGTGGCTCAGTTGGTTAAAGCAACCCACTGTTGGTTTTGGCTCAGGTCATGATCTCAGGGTCGTGAAATCAAGCCCCATGTAAGGCTCATGCTTAGTGCAGAGTCTGCTTGAGATTCTTTTCCCCTCTTTGTTCCTCCCCCTCTGTTCCTCTCCCTGCTCTCTCTCTCTCTTTCTCTCAAATAAATAAATAAATAAGATCTTAAAATAAAATAGGTGAAAAGGGCATAAGAGGTACAAACTACCATTTATAAAATAAATCACAGAGGGGTGCCTGGGTGGACAGTTGGTTAAGCAACCGACTCTTGATTTTGGCTCAGGTCATGATCTTAGGGTTGTGAGGTGGAGCCTGCTTAAGATTCTCTCTCTCTCTCCCTCTCCCTTGCCCCTCCCCCTCCCTCCCTCTAAAAAAAATCACAGAGATGAAAAGTACAGCATAGGGAATATAGTCAATGTAATGATATTGTCTGGTGATTGATAGTGGCTACACTTATCATGGTGAGCATTGAATAATGTACACAATTGTAGAATCACCATGTTGTACACCTGAAACTAATATGACATCGCATGCCAACTATGCTTCAATAATTTAAAAAAATTTAATAAGATAAAGTAAAATGCAATTAGGAGTATTATATATAGCCTTCTCTATTTTTTTTAAGATGTCTGTATTTATTTTTAGAGAGAGAGAGCATGCAAGAGAGCAGGGGAAGGGGCAGAGGGAGAGAAGTCTCAAGCAGACTCCCGACTGAGCACAGAGCCTGACACAGGGTTCGATCTCACAACCCTGAGATAATGACCTGAGCCAAAATCAAGAATTGGGTGCTTAAGGGACTGAGCCACCCAGGCACCCTTATCTATATATAGCCTCCTTAAACCCTCCCATGGTGCACCTTTGTCCACACAGGGTAGAGTCCAACCCCCCTAACATAATGAACTTTCTTCAGACTATATTTCTAGTCATATCGCCAAGAGATCACAGTCTTGTGATTTATAAATCTCAAAAACTACCAAACTATTTGTAGGCCTTCAAAATACATGTTGTGTTATTTCACACCTTTAAACATGCTGTTCCCTCTCTTTTTCCTTGCCCTGGAAAACTTCTACTCACTCATCAAAACCCAACTCAAGGGTCATCTCCCCATTGCCCAGACTGAGTTTATCACTCTCTCATCTCTGCCATCCCTGCAACTTTTATTGATTGATTTATTCAACAAATATCTTTTGAGGACCTATTGTCTGCCAGGCTCTATATGAAGAATTAAGAATACAATGATGAATAGTTACATACAATCCTAGCAAACAAGCCCTTAGCCTTAGTTAAATTAATACTATTTATTTGAGCAAAGCAATCCTTTACATCACTTTTATAGCAGAAAAAAGATAAGGTCACATCAGTTTATATTATTTACAAAGGAGAATCAATAAAGTAAATGATTGTCTAAGATTGCATTTGTATTTTATGAAAGTTATAACACAAGAGCTCAGATAATACTGTCTAAGCCATTTAGATTCATTCAATATTCATTAAAAAGTGTTCTTCAGGGGCCTGTTATGTACAAAATAATATGTTGGTCATCTTCAGGAATAAAAGAATATAAGATGTTTGCCACAGTTTAATCTACTGCAGAAAACAGATTTATATAAACTTAACTACTTAACTGCAATATTAAGTGTGGGTTAAGTGTCACAATAGATGGATAAAGCGTAACAGCCAAACAGTGGAGAACTGACATTACATTCTTACAAAGCATTTTGAAATGTCAGTTCTAAAATTCCACGATCAGTATTAACTCATTCTGTTGTATTAGGAAGCATGTATAGGGGCACCTGGCTGGCTCAGTCAGAAGAACATGTCTCTTGATCTCAGGGTCATGAGTTTGAGCCCCATGTTGGGTGCAGAGATTACTTAAATAAATAAAATTTTTTTTAAGAAAAGGAAGCATGTTATAGTATTTAAATAGTACATGGACAGAGGCCATAGTTGGGAATCAAAACTATTTTATTATGAAAATTTATTTCAAGCATATGAAAAAGTTTTCAGAATAATACATCTAATGCCCTTGTAATCATAAGCCTACTTTATCTGACCTAATATTTTGCCATATTTGATAGGGGCCTTTGTTTTTAAAAGACATATGATTAAAGTCTCTGTGTACCTTTCCCAAGCCCATTCCACTCCCGCACCAGAAGAACCACTCTCATGAATTTGTATGAATCATTTGTATGCATGCTTTGATTCCTCTGGTATGTATCTGTAGGTACATATGTATCTACATTCTTGGTTTGCATTTTTAACTTTATATTTGTGACATTATAATGTACATATAATGAACTAAAACCTGAGTTTTTAGTTCAACATTATGTTTATGAAATATATTCATTTGGACACACTTAGCTCTAATTTATCAATTTAATTTCTGACAGCATATCATTACTATTTAAGTAAACATAGTGTACTTATCTTTTCTCCTTTTAATAAATATTAATGTAGATTCCAACTTTATTATGAACAATACTGCCTTGAACACTCTCATTCATGTCTCTTGGTACACTTTTGCAAAACCATTTTTTTTTTTTTAGATTTTATTTATTTGAGAGAGAGGGAGAGCACACGCGCACAGGGGAGGGGCAGAGGAAGGGACAAGCAGATTGGCCACTGATGGCAGGGCCTGACACTGCTGGATCTTAGGGACCCCAAGATAATGACTGAGTCAATGGATGTCAGACACCCAACTGTCTGAGCTACCCAGGCGCCCCTGCAAAACTATTTCTAAGACAATGATCTGTAAAGTTTTTTGATCATGCATACTTATTTGTAAAATGT